TGTGTGATTATATTAGTCTTCTGCTCTGGAATCTTTGATGATTTCTAGACCACACTCAGAAGAATGCAGGCCAACACGTCTGTGTACTCTTCCTTGACTGATTCCAAACGATCTGTAATTCTCATAGGACTCCTCCTGGAACCCTTTGGTCCAGCCACACAGAACTATCGCTGTGTCTCTACTTTGGTTCCAGGCTATCTCTTCTGTGTCTTTTCTTTGAAGTATCCTTTTCTCTAGTGTCTTTTTATTGCTCCCATTTTCCTTTGCATTCACTTGAAATACAGACTTGTAGTGACATGTGTGACATTTGTAGTGTCGCAAATAAATAAATACTTCCCCCTCTGGAACTGGAAAGCATGTGGGAGGTCTGTGAGCCATTAGTCTCAGTCCCTGTGAGTATCAGCATCATTGACGCTGCTGTTACATGAAAAAGCAGAGGATTTCAAGGTATTGACGGTGGCATCTGCTTGAAGTGTCGTTGTTTACGTGAGGGGCTTTAGTGGTATGGAATGGCCTCCTTGTGTGGCGTAGCTGGAAACTCACAAATGCACATCAGTGATATGTTGAAAAAGAGTGATGGACTCGGTTGCTTATGTCGATGCTCAAAGATGAAGAGCAACCTTCAGGCTGTCCTGACACCGCGTATGTCCATCCCAGTTGTCTCTGATCTTGCTGCCAAGGTCAGTTTGCTCGGCAACAAATGTTCATTCACCCAGAAGTTTTGTGGCTCTTTTACATAGGATGGTTTTGTTGTCAGAAATTTTCTATGCAAAAGCAAGCTTTTAGAATGCATGCTGTTGTGTGGGGGAGGCGCAGCGCAGAGCGCTGAGGCGAGATGATGGCTTTGATTTGGATCCTCGTCCTGATCTGGGGGAGTTTTGTTCTTTTGTACAAAAGCTACTAAACTCTCACTTGCGGTTTCAGCATTTGTGAAATAGTCCTAGTAGTAGCATCTCGTCACGGCACTGTTAGGAAATTTGGAAGAGAACACATTAATTTAATCTGGGCCCAGTGGCCCATGCCTGTAATCCCAGCGATGAGGTAGACCGAGACTGAAGGATTGTAATTTCAAGCTGTGCCATAGCAATTTAATGAGATGCTGTCTATAAATAAATAAATAAATAAATGAATGAATGAATAAATAGGGTCGGGGATGTAGTGCAGGAGTAGAGCACCCTCGCTTCAATTGTCGTTAATAGAAGTGGTCTCTGGTACTCAGTAAATATTAGCTGCTAGTAATGATGGTGGTGGTGGCAGCGGCGATGGCAGAGCAGCCCCTATAGCTGAAATGGGATGGTGCTGGGCAGGGCTGCACCTGGCGTTCCTGGCCAGATCATCATCATGGTCAGCCCTGGCTGCAGGTCCTCTTCTCCTAGAGGAAGTCGGATGCCATCTTGCTTTGCCTTTGTCTCATCTCACCTGAGCAGCGCTGGCAGGGTGGGGATGGGGGCCTCTTTCTGGGAGGCTTATTCATCAGTAGCAATCCGTGGCCTGCCACCCGGAGCTCAGTCGTGGCCCGCACCCCGAGAGTGAACAGCGCCTGTGAGCTGTCCGAGGCGCTGACTGTCAAGTGAGGGAGACAGACTCTAAGCAGGACATTTCACCGTGTTGTGTTAAGAATTTGACCAAACGCTTTCTCATCCGTGGCTGAAGAATTGAAGGCTTAATAAATGAGAAGGATTTGCAGATGTTGTGTCCTTTGGAGCATTGTCAATTTGAAAACTTCAGTCCTAGATTTTAACAGCAACCACAAAGATGCTCTGTATGGTGACAGAAGCAAAAATCGGTTTGGTGCTCTGAGAGTAATGAAGGTATCTAAGGAACTAGAAAATGGTGCTGAGATGGCCGGGCAGGTTTTTCACGACCTTGGATCTGAAATCAAGGTGGGAAAGTGGATGCTTTGGTCACGTTACTATGTGTTTAAACTTTGGAACCTTTTGAGGGCCGGCCAAATAGCTCCGTGAATTCAAGTGCCTGCAAGCAGGCCCAGGGGCCAGGGCTCAATCCCTGGGCCTCCTGTGCTGGCCCCACCCCGAGGGCACGCTGTGATGGCAACAGAGACTGGGCGTGGTGGCGGCTCGCCTGTGACCCCAGCTCTTGGGAGGCTGCAGACAGGAGGAGCACTATGAGTCTGATCTAGGAGTGAGACTCAGAACACCCTGTAGACCCTTCCCTAAACAAACAAACAGAAACCAAAAAAGGGGAAGCCCCTCGAAGATACTATTTCAATTTTTAGATTATGAGGAAAGCATAAATACTATCTTGTCATAAAATTAAAAAGATCAACTGAGAACTATTAGGGCCCCGATTCCATTCCGCCTGCTGGTATCTAAGTCACTGAAGCTGTAAGCGTGACGGGACATATCTTAGTGAAGGAAGTACTTTCTGCCTGTGGTAAATTAGGAAGAGTAAAGCCTAGCTGAAGTCTGGATCGTGCGGCAGTGGTTTTGGACACGTTCAAGGTGCTGTATGGAATTGAGTGGACAGCGGACGTGTGCTTGCATTTTTGCACATTGAATGCCATGGAAGCACCGAAGGCATCATTCTTGTTCTTCTCGGTCTGTTCTCTGGTGTGAAGGCTAATGCGTGTAGGTCTCTGTAGTGTGTGATGACCCTCATGTTTATCATGTAAAACAGAAGCAGATGTCTTGTGAAAGTCACCATTCCTAAATAACCTGGGCTGTAGCTCCTGGGAATAGATACTTCACAGTATTCATGGTGAGTATAAGGGACTTGAAATTGCTTTCAAGGAATTGCTCAGGAAGTAAGTCCTTTAGCTTGTTTGTGTTGCTTTCCTAAATTACTTATAACAACTTTTCATTAACTTAGATTACGAGTTTAATTGACATTCATCAGCCCAGAGTATCGGATTGGGATTTGGTAGTCTTGGATTCTACCCTCAGATCTTCCCATTGATTGAGAAGCACTTCAGGCTTGTGATGTACTCTTTGTACTTCAGCTGTGTGTAGTAGAGTGAAAATGTTTTATCGATGGCTTTTTTTTTTTTTTTTCAAAGAGTTCAGATTTCTGAAGGATTTGTAAAACTCACATGTTTTTTTGGGCTATTGAAGTGTATGTATTCCAGAGTTAACGTACTGGCCCGTCGAGCACAATGTGCCTCTTGCAGGGCCTCCTTGGATCTAGGCTTTGGCTAGTCCATCCAGGCAGGGAAAGTAGCTGAAGCAGACTTGGCTCCTTGTAGCGATGCTTTCATGCCCTGAGGTTGAAGGAGGCTCAGACGGGAGCTCTTTTCTGTCTGTTTCCGTCTGGCTAGCTTTGGAAGACTTCTGTCCTCCTAATGAAGAGATGGGAGCCATGACAAATGACATAATGATGCTTACAGATACTCAGCAAAGAGCCTTCCATAGTCAGTGCTGTAGACTTCGCAAGGGTCCCTCTTCCCTTTTTCCTCTCTGAGTCATCAATAATGGAGGAGGAAGGAAAATGAATTGGCAGATGGTAGTCAAATTATTGCCTTTATTATTTTTGCTACTCTCTCAACAGTTTTATTGCAGAATAAGCCAGATGTAGTTTAGTCTGAGAGCCAAATGGGTTCATCAAAACGAGCCCTAGAATTAGACTTAATTATCCATTCACAAGTCCTGGCCAACCCAGGCAATCTCTCAGTGTGAGAATTACAGCTTTTGGGTTTATGGGCAAGTGGGCTCTGGAAGAGGAGAGAGGAGTAGAGCAAGACTTTGGACCCTGGCATTTGTATTTAAGGCGGTTGTGCTACCAGTGTGTGTCCAGGTTAGGACTTACTGCTGTCTGCATGTCATCTATTTTGCAATTCCTCTGTCCCTTTCCAAGTGACTTCACCATTGACTTGACAGAGAACCCTGCCTTCCCCTGGGGGAAAACCCTACTAGTCAAGCTGAAGCTTGGCAGGTCCTCCTCTGTGAAATCTTCCCCTCTCTCCACACTTTCCCAAATCAAAGCTGTCCAGTTCCTCCTGAAGGGGGACTACTCTATCCTAGACTTCGCTGTTCCATCAAATTTATCATGTTGAAATTACTTGATAGCTAGAATGAGAACATTTTTATAAAAGTTTGTGTACAGTATGAGGCCATTGTTGACAACTGAGTATTATTTAGCCATAAAGAAGAAAATTTTATTATTTGCAAGAAAATGGATGGATCATCATGCTGAGTGAAATAAACTAGACTCAGAAAGGCAAACAATACATGCTGTCCCCAGTGTGTGGAGTCCAGAAAAGATAACAAACTAGAAGAGGCATTGTTACCAGACCAGAATAAGGGAATAAGAGGGAAGGCTAGAAGAGGGAATAACGGGGTGATGGACCTGATAAAAAACAGATAACATGCAGTGAAACTATCCAGCATCTGAAACTAGGGGGAAAGGGGCTCGAGGCAGTGAAAATGATCAATGTGTTGTGTGCATGCACTAACTTACCAAATGAAGCAATCTGCATAGTCACTGTGTGCTCATAAGCGAGGGGAAAGGCCCGTATGCACATGTGAACACGTTAGTGTGTAGGAAAGGGCGCTCCTGTCTGTGCACCGATCACAGAGTAACGACAAGTCTGGGGACGGGTTGAGCGTGTCCATTTTTTCTTAATGTGTGTTCAGTTTACTTTTATGTTTTAACTTCTAGATGACTGTCTTCCAAGTGTGAGGTAGAATCATCTAAGTGAAGAAAAGCCTTGCGTTGACTTTCCGTTGTGTCTTCGCCCCTCCATGTCATCTCAGCCTCCATCCTAATTTGGAGTCATGCTGTGGGCTCTGACAGCCCCTGTGCTCCCTCTACCCTTTCATTCTCCTTTCCTAAATGCCCAGCTCATCAGAGGCATGACTGGGTGACGAGGAACGGATGATACTGCCTTCTCGTAATCACAGAGAATATCGCCGCCCCAAAGAGGAACAGATGCCACCTTCTTCCAGTCCAGCTTTATTGAGCTTTTACACATCCGGACAGACAGCAGCAAGCCAGTTAGTGCGTGTTTTCCTCACTCTTGACTGTTTGTATCTTTTCTTGCACAGGTGCACTACGGCCCTGAAGCTCTGAAGGATGGGTAAAGACTTCCGCTACTACTTCCAGCATCCCTGGTCTCGCATGATCGTGGCTTACTTGGTGATCTTCTTTAACTTCCTGATATTTGCGGAGGACCCAGTTTCCCACAGCCAGACTGAAGCCAATGTTATTGTCGTTGGAAACTGTTTTTCTTTTGTAACAAATAAATACCCCAGAGGACTTGGCTGGAGGATCCTGAAGGTGCTTCTGTGGCTCCTGGCCATTCTCATAGGACTCATAGCGGGGAAATTTCTGTTCCATCAGCGCTTGTTTGGTGAGTACCGTAACCCAGGCATGGGATGCTTTTAATTATTTCCTGTCCTCTCTCCAAGAGAGAACTTCGTTCCTCCTAAGTTCTAATTCAGGATGCATTTCAGTCCGTTTTCTAGCCTTAGTTCCTGAGGCACTGCTGTAACTAGGTTCTTCACCTCTTCTGTGTTTAGTGGTGCACTCCTGCTGCTGCCTGAAGAAAACCAGCGTGAGCAAGATTAGTGTCACATTTCACTGGGACTATGACTTAGAACTCAATGAATATGTACATAATTGTGTTTAGAAAAGACATGAAAATAGGTCTGATTGTGTAAATATAGCCCGAGTGTGCTGTAGTAAAGCGTTTGTGAGTCAGCGAATGCTTCTTTATCGTACTGTATTTTCATTAAAGTAAGCGGACCGTTGCCTGTGTATTTATACATGTTGTCCATTCTTGGAATTAGAACCAGAGCACTAACTTCTTACCCTCATTTTCTTGTAATGTTGGCTTTAGGGGTTTACTTTGTTCATCCATAGAATAGCACATTACTGTAGTAACAAACTTCTTGGTAGTACACAACCGAAAGAGAATAAATTAGATGAAGTTAAAAGACAACTCACTCTAAAGCTGTTGCGATGTTCCTAGAGATCGAGGCTAGAACTCGTTTTGGAGCCTGGGATGCACTTCTTTTCATTCTGTCAGAGTGCTTTTTGCCTCTGCTTCTCTGTCATTCCTGACCCATTTGTGTTCATCTCGGACATCAGTTCACATCCCCACTTCGAACACACTTTCTTATTCCAATTTTAAATTTTCAGGGAAGGGGCTGAAGTGGTCTAGCGGCGGATGCTCATGCAGCATACTCAGCAGTCGTTCGTCACAGGCCGGCCACTATTCTGGCCAGGGAAGTGGAAAGTCAAGTTCTCGCGTCTCATAGTAATTCATTGCCTACAAGTGGGAGAGTAAACAAATGGATGTGGGACACGATGAGGAATAATAAGTGCTGGAGGTGAAAGAAACCAGTTTTCAGTGCTGCAGATGGGTCAGGAAGGTAACTGAACAGGGAGCTTTGAGCTTAGCAGTTAGAGGCTCATTGAGGGGAAAGGATATTTTCAGTCTAGAGATTCATTCGGCACAAATGGCAACGTTGTAAGGAATGAGTAACTAAGTAAATATTCATATATATGTATACATTCAGAATGGTACTTGTCTAAATTGCTACATCTCAAAGTATTATCATCTCTTTTTCCTATATAAGATAAAGTGTATTGGTTGCTAGTGGTTACAGGTGGATGATGAGATTAGTTGACCTACCTATACTTATGGGGGAAGGAACTAGATTGAAGTGAGGATAAGTTAAATGTACAAAGAGAGCATCTCTGAAGGTCTTTTTGGCCTGGCGCTTAGAACACGGGTAGAATCATGGCCTTAGAAAGGACAAGAGCAGAGGCCCTGATTTCTTAGATACATGCATGAGTGAGGCAAGGGGTGGTGCTTTGAAGTACATGTTTGAGTAGAGGAGCACAGGGAGCATCTGCCCACGTGGGAACCTCTCATGGTGCAGATGCCCTGAAGCTAGGGCTGGGCGGGTCTGATGATACAAGGGTAAAGAAAGGGGTCAAGCTTTAAAGTAGTGATCCCAGGGCGTTGGGGGAGAACTGACTAGGGCTAGGGGAAGGGGCTGCTGACTGCCGCTAAAGGCTGTGCTGTAAGTGCAGAGGATCCACTTTGAATGACTAAGCAGTTTTCTTTTGAGCTCTCCAAAGTCACCTGGAACAGAATTTCGGTGATTCATATGGGCGGGGACTGCTTGGGTCCAACCCTATTGGAAACACAAGAAGGAAAACAAACCGAGAACTCTGGTCCGATGGTTGTCGATTTAATTAAAAGGTTGTTCTTGTGGGCGTGGAGGGGAGGAAAGGGGAGAAAGTGGGTCCAGAAGGCATGGGCAGGGGGCCAAGGATGTGGAGGAAAGCAGCAGGTGAAGCTTGAGTCAGAAGAGGGAAGGAACCAGCGGGTGTGGCGGAGTGACATGCTGCAACAGAAGCGTGGTCATTCTTTACTGGTAATTCCCAGCAGGGCGTGTCTTTGAAGTGTGCATGCCAAAGTGGATGGCGAGACAGGTCATTGGCACAGAGGATAAGCAGGCCTCACAGTTGCTCTTCTCTTTGCTGACACTAAAGGCCTGGTGCCCAGAGTTAAAGAGGACAGGTTTATCTGGCTCACAGCTTGTAGGGGCTCCAGCATGTAATGGGCTGGCTCCACGGCATGTGGCTCCATGGAGGGGAAACAGGTCAGGGTGGACGGGAGGTAGTAAAACAAGCAAGGGGCAAGACGACCCTCTTTCTGTCCACTGTATCTCCTACTGAGATTAGGGTGGGTGCCAACCAGTCAGTCATCCCCCTCCCTTAGTCCCAGTACCCTTAATGCTAGCATTGTAGCATGAGTCAGTCACATACTGTAGATTCAGCCACCTCTGAAAAAGCCCGACCTATGACTGCCTGAGGCTTTCAGGGCACCTCTAGGACAAGCTGTAGGCTGGTGCTGCAGCGGGTGGCTCATCCATCAAGCGCTGAACAAGCATTGTGTTGCGCACAGTAACCCTACAGATAGGAGGCGGTAGGCGTGGGTGCTGGGTGCGAGAGGCTGTCTCTAGAACTGGGTAGAGCGTGATCCGCAGAGCAAGCGGATCACGTATCTGTCAATACGTATCTGTCACAAGCAGTGGTCGGATGGCTTTGTAGCACGGGTGGGGAATTTTCCCATATAGAAAGCAGCAAACGTAGACCCAAAGTTTCAGCTTGAAGAGAAGTTACCTGCCGTATTAAAGGTTAGTTAAGAATCATACGGCAAGGTAATAAGAAGGGCAGGTCACTTGGTTTTGTCATTCGTACATTTTGTTTTTATTCTATTACAAATTTTGATTTCACACTAAAATCACATTTCAATCATAACTTACCTTTGAATTCTACTGTGAGCCTAAGTACTAGAGCTCTGAAAAAATATTACAGAGCTCAGTGGTTTATTGAGTACAGCTTATTTTAAAGTAATTCAAAAGCGTTTCTTAATTTTTGCTTGCAGTTGAAAAGATTTTTTTTTTTAAATTTTTTTATTTATGTGTGTGTGTGTGTGTGTGTGTGTGGCCAGCTCAGCCCACCAGGGGCGGGGCTGGCTGGCATGTGGTGCTGGGGGATTGAACCGTGGACCCTGTGCGTTGCTAAGCTTGTTCTAAGTAGGTGCTTTAGACCACTGAGCCGTCTCACCAGTCCCTGAAAAGATTCTTGAATGTCAACATTGTCATTTATATTTCACAATATCCTTTTCTGTCTTTAAAAGTAAAACTCACAGTTATATGGGATCCTAGCGAACCTACAGATCTTGAGAAGTAATGTAAAGGGATTTCTGATTCGATTTCCTAATAAGCTGCGAGCTTGTCCTCTCTGAACCTCTTGTTTTCAGCTGTTGTTTCGTGAGCTCTTAGTCATTTCCTCCTAATAGTTCTCTCTCACTCAGTTTTTTTCCTGATGGATTCTGGAATAACTTCTGTCTGTTTTTCTAAACGGCTTCTGGGGTGATTAGAATAAAATCTGAACTCCTTTGGCTGATGCCCAGAGCTCTTTATCACTCACGCCTCCTCGGCTCTGAACCTGGTCTCTTGGCCCTCTGTCTACACAGCAGTCTTGCTGGGTCTCAGGCCGCTTGCTGTCTCCTCTCTTGTGCATGCGTCCCCTGTGCCCCGCACACTTGTCCCCTTGCTGTCTACTTGGCTTGTTTCTCCCTGTGATGTTCTCCCAGACTCACTCTTGTCAGACTTGAGGTGTCCCTCCAGCTCTTGTTCGTGACCTCTTGTACGAAAGGAGTAAG